ACACACACACACACACGCTCCACTCCCACTTTATAAAAAGAATAAAGGTGTGTTTATTCAGGCCCAGGCATACCAAAACCCCATTAGTAGGATGAGCACTTAAGTGAATAGAGTATATGAACCTGTGTAATAGTGCAAATCCTCTTTCTTCTTGTCATTGGAGAGAAAACCTTTGACAGTCAAGATGAGGCCGAAGAGAAAGGGTTCAAGATAAACTCCTAGACTGTGTTTCATGAGATATTAATACATGGGGTCTATAGAAGTCTTCCTGGAAAATTCTCCTATCTCTGACTAGAGAATGTATGATCATGCCTTATAAAGATGTGTCCTTTTCATGGGATTAACAGACTGTTGTTTACTGACCTTAATCAAAGATATCTCAGTTCTGGGTGCCTCTTCCAGAAGACAGGCTATATATCAAATACAAAAGAGAAACTTTAAGACGAGGGCTATAAAATCTTATTTGATTTGTTGAAGGACCCACCACTGCAGTGCTAAAGGAAGTCAGACAGTGGTGATTGGCTACAGCCTGGGCCCATAAGTTCCAGTGCAGTACAGTAGTTAGTGCACCTTGGACACCAGGGAAACATGGAACGTGGCATGGTTTTCTACCCCCTTCATGCGGAGCAAGGTTAACTCAGGACCAGTCATCACTGACTCAGTGGAGGAACCCATCTTCACAGCTTTGTGGAAGAAGTATTCAATGGCATTTGGCAGGTACTGCATACTCAGTAATAAATAATGAAAGAACAAAACTGACCTGTGTTAGATTAGGCTAATTGCTGTATCAACCTCCAAACTTTAGTGACTTAATAAAATTTTATTTCTTGCTCATGAAATTCTCAGTGAGGAAATTCCTGGTTGGAGGTACTCCAAGAATGATTCATGGGTCCAGGCTCCTTTTTTTTCATTCTGCTGCCATATTCAACATGCAGCCTCCAAGTCTGCTGCAGAATGTGAGAAGAGCGTGGGAAAGATGCATGGATACTTACTACCTCTGTCCAGGAGTGACATGCATCATTTCTGCTCACTCCATTGGCCAGAACTAGTCCCAAGACCACACCCACTTGCAAGGGCTATCTCTATCCTGAGTGTCAAGCCCCTTACCTCCACCCAAAACTCTCTCTCTCACACACACACACACACACAGTCACTGATGGGTACCACTTTACAGCACCAATCATATGAAAGGAAAGACCGATTGTTGATCAGTGGGTTTTCTGTTTTTTGTGGCAAACTTAGCATCCTGTAGTACCCATTTCATGGTGATTGAAAGAAATAATGAGTGAGCAAACCCAACATAGGCTGCTCAGAGAACAGAGTCCCCCACGTTTGGCATATCTAAGAACCAAGTCTGATTCCGTCCACTAGTTCTGTTTCACTTTTCTTTACACATGTTAACATCTCTCAAATCAACATGTGTCTCATAGACGACAGACAATATATTGAAATGATGATCAGCAGAGCTTTTTTTTTCTTTAATAGTAGCAAATTAAGTAATAGTACTTACAGTCAATGGTGTTGTCATAGATTCAATGAAGAATAGTTTGTCACTAAAAGGAGGAAGAGACACAGGCTCCATTCAGTACATAAAGGACACAAATGATTAAACAGAATAAATAGGTTTGTTTCCTAAGGACACTGTAAAACATACTAGATTAATGTGTATTTTGCATCTATAAAGAGAAATAGAATCTCAGTGTTTCCTAACTCTTTTCAACTGTGGGAGTCTCTTTTGTCCATGGATACCCATTTCCAGTTGTATCCACTAATGTGCCATGGACCAATGTTCCTGTGGTCTATAGTACAGAACTGCTGCTCTTAAACGGAGGTGTAAAGGGTAATCTCCTCGTCCAGGTGACCAGGTTTCCCGTCTGTAGGGCTGAGTCCTCATGTGAAGCACTGCTCTGTACATCTCAATATTTTTTGCTCTAATACCCCTAGTACCAGGGAGTGTACCCCTCCACCCCCACCCCCAGAGACTATCAAGGCGAACAGACTAAGTAATGTCTACTCTATTCTAGCCTGAATTGTATGTGATGTTTCCTGGGTCATTTCAAAATTACACGGAATTTCCCGTGTCTGTATTGTCTGTCCTTACTAGTAGAATTTAAACTCAATGAGGGTAGCAGGCTCCTTTGGTGTTCACGTGTCTTGAGTGCATGGGTAGGTGCTCAGTAAACAGTTGATGAATGAATCAGCGAACAATATATCTGAATTTGTTTTCACTATGTA